CACCGAGCTTACTTGACGTCATCAACGTGCTCCGGGGGCAATCAACCGGCAAGCAGCGTAAAAATCTTGCGGATCACGCGTCACGTACTGCACGGTTGCAGCCGTGATTGCGTGGGTGGATGCTGCGAGCTGAATGGGAAGCTGAGCGAGCGTCATTTTGGCGGCACCGAGGAAAGATGCGTTTCCACGTCGCGTTAAACTCTTATCGCGTGCACCAGAATTGGCAGAATCCCGTGCTCCAGAATCTCGGTACGCTAATCTTGGACGAGATCGTTCCGTATTAAATAATATTAAATAGGATATTTCACACATTTTCTGCGTTGAGTTGTATTTTGAATATTTTATATTATTTTATATTATTTATTTATTATTTTATATTTTATATGTTTCTGCGTGTCAAGTGCATTTTATCCACTTTTGCAACTTTTAGTTTATAGAAATTGTACACAGTCTACAATCGGGGTTATCACAATTAAGCTATTGCTAGTGAAGTTGTTAATGAACTGATTTTGTAATGTATAAACATTTGGAACTCGATTGTTTGAACTTTGAAATTTTACAAGTCGAAATCTGATTGCCTTCGTCTTGCATGGTTGAACTGATATTGTTAATGGAATTGTAATTGATGATAATTGCATAAGAATTATTCCTAATAAGAAGGATTTATTTCTTTTGCAAAACACAGCGTTTTAGAGTTTTTCTTGCATTTAGCAACCTGGAACGTAGTATGCTAACGTGACTCGTTAGCAATGGCATCCTCATTTAAATAGCAACAAATGTGATCGAGAAAGTCGATTTCATTGTGAAATTGAAACATTTGCATTTCAACCTAAAGGAAAATGAATGCTTGCTGCACTATACGAACCTACGCTCTATTACACTCTCGTTCAAAAGTTTAGAGTTTATGCTGAGATTTCAGAAGAAGTAATCATTTCTCTGAATAAATATAAATGTTTTAACATGGTAATGATATTTAACTATTAATTATATTTACTCAGTTTTAATTACGGTTAGAAATGATACTTATAGTTACTTAAAAAGTTTCTTAAAAAAATTGATACGAAAGAATTAATTTCATCTCTATAGTAAAAATGGTCCTTCAAACCTCTGAGCAAGAATGTATTTATTTAGCTTTAATTAGGATGGATCGTTTGATCGTTTCTTGCTCCTTTAAAGCAAAATTTGCGAAACCGTAAACATAATTTATCATCACGTAAAAATAGACGACACAAATCGTCGAAATGACAAGAGACTTGAAGAACAATACTTAACAATATTATCTGTACCAACAAAATTTGCGTTCTAATGAAGAATGTTACTTTATCTGTTTAACTTCTAATCATAGAAACTAATTTTAATTTGACGAATATGCAACAACAATTTGAAGAGGATTCAGCGTTTGGATTAAATAGATTTATAAAACCTAACAATAAAACCTGTAATAAAGATATCGTTATTATTATTGCATAATTATATTCGCCATTTAACGAGGAGAATCCTTTTTTTTTTTACATTTTAGTGTACTCGTGGTAGATTTTGTAATCTTTCATTCCGATTTATTTACATTTTCCAGTAAATTGATATTATAAACATCGTCATTAATCAACGTTGCTACAATCTATTCAAAAAAAAAAATTGCGATTGTAATCATCTTTTCACGTCACTGTATGATAATAATGCGCTGTTATCTATGTTTATCAAACCGTCTCGAAAACTAGCAAGCAAAACGTGCGCTTTTTCAGTCCATTAGGATTGCACAATTCCTTTGTATTTTCAAAAATTAGTTTAAAGTGGAAATAAACTACTTTAAAACAAAAAAATTTGACTTTTCCTCCCACTTCAGAAATATTATACAATAATAACCATTTAGGAAAAAAGTTGTTTTCTTATCTTTATGTGCATAGAACAAAGCACTAAGTACCCAATTAATTTTTCAAATTTAAATTCGGAAATTTAATACTGATATTTAATATTTGATAAATATTAATATTTAACAAAACTCTTTGTTCCTTTTTATGCTACGTCCTGACAGATCCTCTGCAACTTATCACAAACTTGAAATTTATGATGATGATGATATCAATATGTGGCAATGACGTTGAGTAAATTTTTTTTTCTATCGGCTCGTTGGAACGCGTAAATCAAACTCAGATGTCGGAAAATTACGATGTTTCGCATGAAAAAGCATCGTTCTAGCAACGATGTTCCGGGCGTTAATTACCTAATGCGTTACTCAACCGCTAACTCGGACTCGTTAATATTATTATGTAACTTACACAGTTGATCTAAATTTTGCATAGGAGAAAAATTGAACGCGATATTTTTTTTTTTAAATATTAATTGTCTCTCTTGTGGAATCGAATTGAAAATTACTTGGTTTTATCAATATGCAATTTTAAACAATACACACGTTTCAAAAGGACATATCTGAGGTACGATTAAATTTAACGATGATCAAAATATTAAATTTCATTTCATTAACTTTCACCTTTTACAAATGTTCTCAACATCGTTCAAAATTATTAATTTAGAAAATTTCGCGACATCGAGTTATTTATACAAAATAAACTCCCGTCCTTATCACCAATATGAAAGAATAAAAAAAAATACACCGCTATCAATTCTAATAAAATCAATTTGTCAAAAATTTAGTAGAAGTGACGGAACAGCATCACTAATAAGTAAAATATCATTCGAATTTTTTCTGTGTATAAAACGTTATATCGTTGCATCTGCTCTGTGTTCATACGTGTCACGAATGACCAGTATGATCTATTTCCGCTTGAAATCCACTAGACTTATTATCGAGCACAGTAAGCTGATTTCGCGATGAATTCATTTGATCTCTCTCTTTTTCTCTCGTCCCCTATTAAACACTTTGCAACACAGCTAGGAATCGCACGAAATACTACTTACGTCAGTTCATTTAATTTAACCTGGCGCGTGAATGAAACGCACCTCACGAAAACGTAGCGAATCTTTAGTTAAAGCAATAAGGAAGTTTGAATTAAGTAATGGATTTAACGAGATCAAGCCAATAACAAAGTTACAAATTGATGTACAACCACGGCCGTATTTTTCAATTTTAATTTGAGTCTCGTACTTTAACCTAATTACACGATAATGCGAAATCACATTTACCAATTGTAACTTATACTAATGTAATGTTTCGTCGTCTTATTAATTATACTGAACATTGTTATCAAACTGTTAAAAAATTTATTGTCATTAATTTTCATATAATATTTATGTATATATATATGTATTTATCGATCTGATTAGTTTGATCGAAATTAGGTTATGGATGCCACTATCGAGATAAATCGCATATCGACAGGTGGTCCTACAGTAATATTTACATGTAATCATAGACTTAAAACGTTACAATACGTTTTCATGCTCTAAATATTAGTTACATTAAGATAACTATTATGCATAGTGCTATGTTTGAAATATCGTTTGAATAATTAGTTTATATGCGTAATTCATGGCATGGATTCCCTAATAAACGCTCTTTTCCGAGAGATTTATCACTAGAACGAAAATCACTAAAAAAAAGGGATGTCCAACGACTATTTGAAACGCGAAACCAAAGATTGAAACTGTCATAGTTACTCACCTAATCATAATATCTCGTCTCGAGACGATTCCAAACCGGCAGAAGCTCATTCAGCGTAGAATTCGCGTTACCTTTTGATACAACACTCCCGATAGCACTTGTGTTTTCTGTTTCTTCTTCTTCTTCTTCTTCCTTTTTCTTTTTGTTTTCTCTTTTATTACGATCGAAGTCGCGAAGGATTCGGCGAAGCGTCAATGGAGAGATAACTAAATCACTACGAAGGGGTCAGTTCGCGGCGAGTACGTCTGTCAATCTGTTAGTACAACTGCCAACTCAGGGACGTCGCACGGGACCGCGAAATCAGGCGGCCCCTACCCCCCTCCCTGCCACCTTGCACAGCACTAGAAAAAAGGTGTACCTCACGCGAAGGGGGATAATAGACGACCATTGACAGCTTCACGGAAGTAATAAAACTCACGGTTAAGGATAACTAGCCAAGCGCGAACTTGCCGCTGGATAAATAAATTCACGCACTGGACCGGAAGAGCATCCCTCGCACCCTCGGAATTCGATTTCGATCGACGCGACGAATCTTTAGGAACGCAACGGAAAGAGGCGCAGGTGCGTCCATTTTTATCGTAAACAAAGGTGAGATTCATATTACGTAAATTCGTAATATTTCTACGATTCGTATTCTTCGTGTAGATTTGTGTTATTTATCTGGAAAGTTGCGTAGATTTAATAATATTCGTTAGCAGATTTCTTAAATTTTACCAGTTGTCCTCCTTAAATTTTCAATTTTATACCCTCGTTGTTTGACCTGAAATTAAGAAGAATATAGCCATTTACAATTAAAAATAAGAAATCATAAATTTGAGTACAGTGAGTATTATAATTGTATCGATTTATTTAGTATATTACTCGTTTTGCAGATGATAACAATTACGTTCCCTTTTTATAGGACATTGTCTTCTTGATAGAGATCAATGAAACAAACGAATGAAATTACATCCGAGGATCAAATTAGCGAAACATTACGCGAAACGATCGTAACGTTGATTCTTCAATTTTCTTAAGCGTAGAATTCCTTAATTACTCAAGCTTGGATGTATCGTTGTAATTATTCAATGTTGCATGCGTACACTGAAAGTAATTACATGAAAGAAAGAGGTCACCAAATGATCCAACCGATATACTAATTCCAATCAGGTTCAAAAACATGGGTCAATCACTTTGATGAAACATGTATGGTATGCATCTTACAAGAATTTTTTGCGTATATTTGTGGTAAAAAAAATTTTTACAGAATAATGCTATTTAAAAATTTAACAATAATCCGTTCAAGAAATTTTGAATGAAATATCTCATGAACAATGCAAATAAAAGAAAAATGAATTTAGTAATTAAAATTTAGAATTAATTAGGAAGCGCGAATTTGGACTTTGAAAAAACAGTCCATATAAGGAACCACTTAGTGGCTTCTGAACGATGGAAGAGTTTTTACAGACCAACAATAAGTGTGTGTTATCTTATTATAGCGAAATATTCGAATTGTATGTGCTGGCCCAAACCTGTTTGATTCGATTTTGCATGTGCTTATTATAGTGCTCATAGTACTTGAATGGATCTGCACCATTTATTTATGAATGATAAGGTGTGGTAAGTAGGTGTTTACTAACAATAAGTCTAAACTCAAAAAGATTGCTTCCAATTTTATTATAATCTCAATACAAAATCGAAGTTTTTCACAGACCATTACCATGTTTAGGATTGCCAATCACCAATTGATCAACAATTGTGAAATAATTTTTCCACAAATAGTAATGAAACACATCTTTCAAAACTGTCCAAAAAGAACTCAGTCGCAAATTTCTGGACTAAGATTCTTTATTATATTCCAATGAATACAAATCTTCATTAATAAATTGTATAAGATCATCATTTAAAAGATAAAATAGGAAATTCAATGATCAATTCGTTGAAGAGATTTACAGAAAGTAATGCTTTTCATTGAAAATATACGAGAACAAACCTAACCTCCATCTTTAGCGAACATGGAAGGGATAACTAATCAAAGTAAAGGTGAGTAACATATTTTGGACGTAGAAGATAAACACGGCTGATCGTTAGATCAGCTCAGTGATAGTAAAATGTAAAAGGCTGGTTATCTAACACACCCCTGTGCCCTGTTCGAGTTAAATTACTATAGAAGACTTTATCCACTTTAGGCATCGGCCGTCAGGCAATCATCCTATTGCCGTACCATAGTATCATGAATGATGGTAAGAAAAGCTACCGAGAGCCGGTTGCCACGAGTTCCCCTGAAATACTGTGTGCCTCTCACTCACATGTATTCCCACGGTCCAGTTCGCTGCGAGAAAACAATATGAAACGATATTTTCAATCGTGGCTGTGCGGATCACTGTCAAGACACGTGGGTCGTCTTGACGGATGTCGTGCTGGTTGATATGTTTGTCAGCGGCTGGTTGACATTTTAATAGACTAGAGAAGGATAAAGCACAATTGTTACCAATCTAAGGTAATTCGAGATCAGATAGGTTATCGAGAGAGAGACAAACGATATGCATGCCACCTCTTATCCATGAAGCAAACGAGAAAATGGAACAATATCAGATTACGTTTGGAAGATTCGTGGCGAAAGTTTAAGAAATCAAATAATATATAGGTACATTATAAATTTTTCAAACTGTCTAATTTAGCATCAGATTGCTCGAACAATTCGTAGCGAAAATTTAACTAGAATTAGATTTTAGAAAATTGTTTCGATAATGAATTCCTTAAATTAATTTTTACGATTTTCCAGAATATTTTATCTCTTGCTTGTAAATCATTATCGTAATATACTTCCCCCACAAACCAGAAGTGGAAATTAAACGAATAAAACGGTGTGGAATGCCAGAACGTGATACGTTTGAATTTTTCTTAAGGAATTCGTCGCGCGAAACGCTGCCAATCCAGAAAGCTTCTTATTGCGTCTCTTGCCACTTTAAGAAGCAACTGTGAGATAATGACCCAATTAGATGTCATTTACACGTGACTCATATCGTCAATTTATCCATGTCCGGCTGCCAAGCATTAATGTTTTACGTGTGTGATTATCCACATTTGGTATAGAAAGGTAAACCGCATCGAATAATGCACAGACAACGTCAATAAACTACGTGCAAGGTTTGGTCAAGAGAAATCGTTTGTCACATGGCTTGTAACAACTTCTATCGGCAGACATTTCTAATTTCGTAGACAATTATCCGTGATGATTACGGATTACAAAAGGAAAATATAAACCTACTTTTCGCGTTTACTGTACATTAAAGAACAACTTTCATCAGAACTACTTGAAATTCTGGTATTCACATTACGTAAATATATACCATTATTTTATTCGACTTTTAACTAACATCAAATTTCTCTCTCAAATTGTAGCACGTGAAGAATTAGAAGAGGAAATTTACGATAAGTCGTAAGCCGTATCTATCTTTCGTATATGTCAAAAATTTAAAAAAAAAAAAAGGAATGTGATGATAGATGACGATTGGAAAACAGAGAATGGTTAAAAATGGGTTGAAATGGAGTAGATGTAAAAAGAGCGACTGATAATTGTCGACAGAGCGTCTAGCAGCGACTCGAATCACTGAGAGGGGACGCAAAACTAGTTCGTCGCCGAATGACGTAGTAGCTCTCATTTTCTTGACCACCTAGTATACACATCCGGTCGGCTGGGCACTCTGCAACTTTCCTACTTCATTCATCGACGCATTCTGTGGCCTTTGAAGGTTGCACAGGCAGAAAAGAGCGGGCACGGTCGCGCGCCGCCGATCAGAGTCAGCCGGCGTACACGCCGACCAGTTTCAACATAATAATTCCTTCTTGGAAATACACCGTGGCTACCACTACATTCTACATCATTGCGAATACCAATCGTATTCGTTACATGTGAACCTCCTCGCCAAGACTTTGCGATGTCGTCTTCCTCCCATACATCGTTTTGTACCTTTTTTTACTCTACCGAGAAATATATTGTCCAAGCGATATTACGTAGTTACGTAACCGCAAGAGTATTAGCTCGAAAATTTGGAAAAATGATTAGAAAATTTTTTATTTTTAAGTAACATCTTAAAAAATAATAATTATTTAACATTATATACTTACTATTAATGAAGCTTTTAACATTACAACATGAAACATTCCCTTTTAATACATTTTCTATTGCTTTTTAGTTTCGAATCTAGATGTACATCTTACTACTTACTGATAACTATGGAATTTGTGTGTAAAATTTTTTTTAATGACTATTAATTAATTAACTCCAGGTAATTAAATTTCGTGTAAATGAATGGTATTTTCCTGCAAAAAAAAAGGTATGTACATCTTTTTAATTCATCTTCCAAATTTCTTCTTTACAAGTTTTTGTTTGTACAACAAGTAAAGATTTATATTTAGTATGCAAATGTGCAATTAAAATATTTAAAAAAAAAATAAAATTTTGACAAAGATGATCTTTTTTTAAGTTAACGATAGATAATTCTTGTAAAACGTGATTCCGCCGAGAATTTAATAAAAGATAAACAAACAACATGAATGGCGAACCATGCAACTGTACAGCAGGAAGTTATAATGGCAGGAACACGGCATCAATGAAATGGGAAACTACCAATGACTGGAATACTATCGTCATCCCCGACAATCTCTACGTCACCTTTGGGTTAGCAATCGTGACGTGGCTTTCACCGAGTACATTGACGGGACCGCCATAAGTATTGCAATTTCTCAAAACCTATACACAATTTTCATTAAATATCGTTATTATTACTCTCAAATTAGCATATTTTATTTTACAGTGCATTGAATACCACTGTTAAAAAGATAAAAATTCCTCCCAAACATTCCTTGAATCGTTCCAATAATTCAAATTATCCAAGAGGGGGAAAAAGTAGTAATTATATATTCTTCTTCGTTCTTACGATTGATTGCACCGACCGATGAAGCAACTGTAACAATACTTATTATCATACATAATTGTATATCACGTATACAGAATAAGCTTGATAGAGGAATAATAAGAAATTAATCCCAAACATAACTTCGGTGTATCGTATATCCGATTACAGTGGTTTAATCTCTGTGCAAACATTCTCTGTGAATAATGCAGCGGCGAGAATACGGCTGGGAACGGTGGCCGATACCAGGCGAACTCCGCGTTCCGTCGAAAATTCCGTTCGTTCGATTCTCAGAGCGCACACAGGTATTCGCGCTTGTGACCGTGCACGTGCGCGAGAGCACTCTTTCGTGGGGAAGGAGGTTATCGACGGCGCCTCGCTGAGAAGGAGAGTAAAGAGAGAAAGGTGAACAGAGGGCAGAGACGAGAGAGGAAATACAGAGGAGATAGTTGAGTCACCAACACACTTGCAAAATGCATGCCACGTTCGACGTAGGTGTGCGATGAGATCGTGTGGAGCAGTGTACGACAGTGGTGGACCGCGTGCTGGGATACATCGATGGTCAATGGTGGGGAGAAAACGTGAATGATCCATAGATGCCTGTACCGTTGTGTGCACCATTCAAGTAACCTGTGTTAGTATACAGGGCGATCCAAAATACGTGCAAGGCATTCAACTGGCTTGAAAACTATGTCGTGAAATTAAAATGCATAGACGATTGCAAACGTTGTTTTCGAATTTGTGCTATGATAAGTTTATGATAAATGAATTTGTAGAAATTCATAAAGATCTGTAATTATTATTCCTGGTTTGGTTCATCAGAACCTTCTTTTCATCTCACTTACTCTATATATCTCCTCATGATCTTAAGATCCATGAATCAAAATAAATGACTGTCCAAAATATGAATAGAATCTCAATCTGTTGTTAAGATTAAATTAAGATTCGTTCGTTGAGAAACGAATCTAACACTGATACTATTAGACTGAGTATCGAGTTCCTTAAAACTTGAATTTGACGCGCCAGTATTATCCAATTTTGCTCCACTTCCAATTACTACAACGAATTTGCTATAAACTAAAGATTTATTTTGTATTAATAAAAACACGACATCAGAATATCCGCGTTGGTGAAAAGCGTCACGAAGATGTTCCGGAAACAGGAACATGACATAATGGTGTGTGAAATTTTTAAATATTTCACAACACGTACGTGAAATTGTTGCTCCGTCCTTTGGTCATTGGACCACCGTATTTTGTAACATTCTATAGAATGTCCAGCGTATACACTGATGGAAGGGAACGGGCTGGTAGTGGACTGTGGTGGGAAACGTGAGCCACGGGGTAGGGATAAGCAGACAGAGGAGTGGGAGGCGGTTAAAGGTTCGGCTTCGGAAATGGCCGCGGGAAAGTAGAGAGCGTTACGTCGTCTGGCAGGCGAGCCGAAGTTTTTCGTGTGCAGCGCTCGTTAATCGCTTCGAGCGTCAGTTCACCGCTTCACTCTCCAACACATCGTCTACCATGTTTTAAAAAGAAAAAAAAAAAGCCGTAAAACGTGGTACCATTTTCAAAAAATCGCGATTAGTGCTTGCGACTAATCTGCTGTCCCTCTCTATCTCTATCTCTCTCTCTCTCTCTCTCTGGTGAGAGTGGTTCAGACACATACCGGTGTCTCAAAGAGATCAGAGTGCGTGCACGAGGATGGCCGGCGACGACGTTGCACCATCAAACAATGAGATCCTCGCGGACAGAGAGGGGCAGGGTGCGTCAGTGCGGGGGGAACCGCATTCCAGAGTGGGCGGCATCCTGGAATGCGATCCCCCCGGTAACAAGAATTCGCCGAGCCAGCGAGTCCCTAACGACGACGACTGCGCCGACGGAAGCGCTCACACTGTGATCCCGCACGATTGTAACGGAGGCGGGGGGACACCGATTGCCGGCGATAACGGCCCTCTATGTCGATATGCTATCGGCACTGCGCATACCGCTATGTCTTTTATCGAAGTTTGCCAGGTAACTACACGCTTATCGATACTTTCGTTTAATCAGTCTTGTTCGCCGAAGTCGTCCAACGAAACTTTCATTTAATCCGTGTCCGTTTTCAACCGGCTGTACGCTCGAATTTCATCTTTTCTGCACGTGCTCGTAAAGGTTCCGACTACGAAATTCCATCTTTCGTTGTGTTTTGCTTATTCGGTAACAACCTCGGTCTGAATATAACTTGATTTACGTCAGACCGCTGGAATTTGCGAGATTCGATTCTGCGATGTTCCACATTTTGCACTATCCGCGACAGAGATTGATAATTTCGAAATTTGGTGATCTAACCCTAAATTTGGCTCAACGTTATAAGTCAACGTACATGCGAGAACATTGTGCTGTTCGGCTGTTCCGAGTAATGAGAGCGAAGCACCGTTAATCGTCCAATTACTATCCCGCGTTTCTCATGTGTATGGTCGTTTGTTTTAAAATGCTGAATGTGACCAACTGTGCTTGAAATAACGAAAAAGAGACACTTTCAGATTCGACTGCAGCACCTTTTCCCGCAGCTGGTCTCGTCCTCGCGGTATAGATCCTGCGAAAACTCCATAGAACTGACTGCAGAACGGTTAGCGAACGATGTGATACGGTATCTACTGAAGGAGGACATATATCTGATATCTCAGAATCCAGTTTCCCGCAGTATGAGACACAATGTGTATCAGATGTTGAACAAGCACAGTATCCTCTTCGCGAGTATGGTAAATCGTCTGAACGTTATGCCGGACACGGCTTACGAAGCGTTCATGGGTGTTGCCGACGAATTGTTCCTGCACGGCGTAGTTACTTGGGCGAGGATTATTTGTCTGTATGCATTCACGGGCAGACTCGCTCTGTGGGCACGGGACAGACGGATGCACGCCTTGAAGAAAAAATTACCGCTTTACGTCTCGAGATTCATTGGCGAAAAAGTTGCGGATTTTATCAAAGTATACGGGGGATGGGTAAGTGCCGTGTTTTTGAAAATGAAGTACTTGTATGTGAAGGTTGTGTTCTGAATGCATTCAGATCTTTGTTACATTAATGTGTGCATGTACTGTATTTTCTTAGGAGCAACTGTGTATAGAATATCCTGTGGCTGAAGAGATAAGTGGAGCGATTTGGAGATGTCTTATAATGACAGGTGCTACGCTTGGTGTGGTTGCAATCATCTTGACAGTGACCTCTTGATATAGTCTTAGAAATTAATTTATACAGGGTACGTTTTGCGCGAGATTTTCCAATCGTACTTATTTCTTATCAAAATACGTTGAGAAACAATTCTGGAAGTTTATATAAGATCTTTAACATTGGCACGAAGAGTGAAATTGTGTGATCCAAAAGACATCTTACATCTTGTGAAATAAGTACAGGATATCAATTAAATGTTAACCTTGCAACCTGCACAATTTTCATGTCAGTGTCACTCAGCTTAGAATTATCTTACATTTTATATAACTCCAACAAATGTGTAACATAAGTGAATGATAATGATACAAGTTTCCTATTATATTCATATTCATGCAGCTCGGTGGACTAGTTAAATTAGTAAAAAAAAAGGAATAAATCTTATTTAATATTAATCTAGATATTTTATCAAAATAATTTTATATAAATAATACTCAAAATTGAAGTTCCAGGTATTTTATACCGGCCAAGAATCTCAAAATTCTGTTGAATTTAGGTAGAATCAATCTAAATATATTTATTTATAATTTATTTTAGGTAGAAAATATATTAATAAATTTCCTTGTCAATCAAAGATCATTATAATGAATGCTTAGCACTTGTTTAAAAAAAGCAGTTAAAATAACAATGCTCATTGAATATACAATAACATTCTTTTTTTTTTAAATGAATGAATGAATATACGTGATAGTTTCTAATGACATTGCAAAAATTTTTATACAAGTATTCAGAGACAATAAATAGTTTCGTTGATTTAATCAATTATTTTTAAACCTGTAACAAGAAAAATCATCTATCAGTCAGGTTTAATGTTTCATATATATATGTATAAGTGTTTGATAGCATATTTTGTATGGACGAAACATTTAGATGATATATTTTCAACTCTTTTAATATAAAACATTAGCAAATGCAAAGGAGGCTAGATGATTAAATTCAAGTAGCTGATTTTTATGATAAATGTTCATTCAGACGATCCCATCAAAAATTTTAATTTCTTATTATACACTTAACAATTACAACAATTTATTATAGTATTACTCGATTCTACATTCTAAATGCTATCGATGTCGTAATATAAAATATATCACGGAAAATATAAAAACTTAATATATAACATAAACAATAAGTAGATATTAAACAACAATCACTATTAATTTCAAAAACAATTACTTTTAAATATACTTGTTTATATGTATTATAGTACTTTGCAAAAACTGAAGAGAAAACAGAATTCGTGTAAAGATCGTAGTATTACCAAAAAAGTTCAATTCTAAAAAAGATATCTTAAAAAAGAACTAATATTTTTGCTCTAGAGTTATTAAAAAAAATATATTTAATAGATATTGATATAGTTTTATTTAAAATAGCATACTTATTCAAACGTAAATACAGTCTACGTACTACTCAAAATATATTTATTTTTTATTTGATCTCAAAATGAAACTATTTCAAACCACAGAAATTTCTAAAATACATGATTAGTAATGAGAGTATTTATAATATATTCTGTTTCATCTTTCAAATAATAATACTAGTGATAATTTTTCGATTGGAAAATTAAACACATGATTTTATTGATGATATATTTTACTAATAAAATACTTCGACCTCTGTATACATATTACCGGTTATTGAAAACTATTAAAAAATTTGCAAAACCGAGGATTCGCTTCTTCGAGTAATACCTTTTGTCATTTTTATCAAATTCTTGTTGCTAGCGAAAAATTTCAGCACTGTCTAATTTTATTATATATTTTCTTTCTTTTTTTTTAAAGATATGTTTAACAATTGAAATATCTAAAATCAACTACTCAAATTTATCGCACAGGTCTTAATAAATACATAATGATTTTAAGAAATTATAATAAGTTGATTGATGTACAAATTAGACAAAATTTGTTAAACCTCTTTGAATGCTTTTTAACACTTGAATATAAAAAAAAAGATATGATTTCCTGATTATCGTTTATAACTTTATGTATTACATGAACATACAATACAAAATCATAAACTCGAGAATAATTTGTTGTGAATATATCTAACAGTTTTTCTTATTTCTACTCAGATCTTGTGACTGTACAGAAAACAATTGTTTTTTTTTTTTTTTTATTTTCTTTTAATTTTTATATCCTAACGTGGATAATAGTAAGAATCAACAATTTTTTTTTTTAATAAACCTTCAAATGTATCTACTTTAAGTTTGCTAATATCGATATTACAACTATGTATAAGTATGTATTATGCATTTACGTGTGAATATATAACTATATAACTATACAAATGGGACTCATTTCGTTCCCCACTTATATAACAGTAAGTGATCATCATACCACAATCATTAATCATCAATTACTTGATTAATGATATATGAAACATATCGTCAGCATTGAGAATATCTTTCATGAAATAAATAAATTTTTAAAAAGCCACAATCCTATGTTAATTTAAACGAAAGTAATTAATTTCTTCTTTAAGCGAAGAAATGAACAAAAATATTTGATATTTTTATACTTTAAAAGTAATAAATAATATTCATTCTTATTCGGTATACCAAAACTAAGAAGAATTATTAATTTCTACAAATATTGGACCCTTTTAATACTTTGTATGTTCGATTCTAATAACATACCACATAACAAGAAAATATAGTTTGTTAATAGTTTAAATATCTTTATTTTTTACTTGTAAACCAATTTTCAATTTTTTTTTTAATTTTTGAAAGTACAAAAAACATTTAAGGATGTATCATTGAAATCACGTTAACAAAAAATAAAATAAAATGCTAGAGATTGCACACGTTACTGACGACATGATCACTTTCCATAAAGATTGGCAGTTACAGCCTGGACGTATTACTGTCCAAAACAGAGCAAAAATGGTAAGACATTTTATAAATCTTATCTGCACCAATATATCCTGTTATATCCAATTATCCCTTTATAAATTGAGTGCACAGGATTGATAATAAAAGACAGATCAAGGTAGTCTAGTTCTATATTAGCCTTTTCATGTACTATTTGGAGAACTCTCAAGAAGTTTTTCATTTATAGATATTAAATAACACTTTTCTAGAGAATTTTATGAATAGTAATATGAAAAGGTACAATGTATTATACTATGGCATTAAAATATATTAAGCAAGTTTTCGAAAATCCCTTTTTGACCAATACAGCAACACACTGTTCGATTTCTTTTCATACCGTTGTTTATCATTTCGATATTTATATGTAAAATTCATTTAAGACTTGAAAATATCATTGCAAGACATGTTTACGGGGGATTGAAATATGTAACGACAAATAGCACACAGCAAGCGCAAATTAGCATCATTAATTACAGTACGAAAGTATTTTACAATTAGCCTGATGGTAATAGGATTCAATTTTAATAAATTCAAAAATTCATAACGATATATGTGTTGCCACAGATATTACGTTTAAAGTATATCTAACATGTAAATCACTTGGTGACATGCTCTATTTTTTTTTTTGTTTCCTGTCAGCTTTCTTGATTTATCACAGCTGGGGCAAAAGTGTCAAGAAAGAAACCTTGTCTTGCACGCCCAAAAAACAAAGTTGGTTCAGATTTCTACTCAACGTAGTCCCACCAATCTTTTTCATAACCTTCATGTACATGTTCCAAAAGCACTTTCCTCCGACTATCGCAATATCTTGAAATAAAAATAACACATATACATGAAATCTGTGTTTTAAAATTTAATTCTTGGTCGAATATTATGTTATCACAATAATAAAGAAAAAGACGAACTTATTGACCAATGACTTACCTATATTTGTCTTGAACTTTTTGTTTAATATCAGCAAGATTTTCGCTTGTAATATCTCGTTCAAGGTATTCAGAAAGGCGTTCTGTGGTGCCTTCTAGATCCTTTTGGTTGTCTTCAAAAATCACAGATTGGTTGTTTTTTCGCACGTAATAAGCAAAAACATAAGTATACATAAGAGTTTGTCTACAGGAACACAAAATGTCTACTGCTTTCTTTAAAAATTGTACCTGAAAATAATGTTTTTATAAAGCACTGCTTTTGCATTTAACTATAAGTAACTTTACCTCAATCCATGACATATTATGCTGTTGCATCTCCTCCATTTTTTCTTTTACACTTGCATACAGTTTACTTTCGAATTTTAATGATTGCATATGATTTATATATCTATTGCAGTAAAATAGATATCTCTGTAATGCAGATCGCGATTTTTCTTGAGCATCTCTCGCGGCTTTAGCCTCTTCTTCATCGTAACGATTACAATTATACCAGCTGGAACCATGTGGTTCCCACGGACCGAGACACACCCAACAAAAGTCAGTTTTACAATTTTGATTTTTGCAAACCATATGATTGCATCCACCATCTTTCTCAATCGTGACGTTACATTTCGGGCATTCTTTTGTGTTTGCGGCAATCCAGTTTGACGTTTCAGAGTCATCATCGCACTTCTTTATCCATTTACGCAATAAATGACATTTTACAGGATCATGCCAATTTTCTCCGCAATGGAAACAGAAGGTATGTCCACATTTGCAAGTTACCGGCCTTGCTTCTACATACTGCACTTTTATAGCATTATTACAATCTGGAGATGGACACCACCTTAATAACCTATTGCACTATAATAAAAATAAGGTTGTATGTAATATAGTTGTCACATGATTTTTCAACGGAACAAAAGAGAGTGAAAGATATTTACTTCAACAAAACTATTTGTTATTAAATGTTGATATTTCAGTTTCACTTTAGAGTCTTTTACAAGACGCATAACACTGGCATCATCAACTAAAATGTCACAAGCATGTGCCGCACATGCAATAGTTTGACCGACTCCTTCTTCCATAATTTTGGTTGTGAGATATTCTCCCCAGCAGCCAGTACAAAAACGATGTCCACACTCAAGTCCAGTCATCATCTAAGTATTTTTTAAAATATATTAGACGTACATATACCTAAAATTCTGATGGTTTTAACATTAGTTAGTGCTTTTCATCTATTTATACACATACTGCAGTTGGCTGAACGGTAAAACAAATCCCACATTCTTCCGTACCATTTGTCGAAGTTCTTCTGGACTGAAAGTTTTAAACATGTTTATCATGTTTTTATAAGTGACATAAACACTACAAAAATGATATAAAATTTTATATACCAATGAACTTTGAGAAGACTGAGTTCTATTTATTAATGGACCTTTCCTAAATGGATTCACAACTCGTGCTTCAGCGAACAACTTTTCCTGATCACCATCATAAAAGCGCTCCATTAATTTTTCCTTGTCCCATTTGAAATGATTTAATAAAATACGCGTGGTTGTAGCTGGTATCTACAATCAAAGAACAATATATTTCACATATTTATGTAATAACTATGATAAAAAATAAACTTCCATTGATTTTCATGAATGAAACATACTTCTACAACTGTATTAACTTCCTTAATAGAATCAACCATATGCTGCACTATTTCCTCTGTTGACAACACTTCAAAAGGATAGTCGTCAACATCAGTAGCCCTTTCTCTTGGGTTACCAGCCTCGATTTCCATTGCAAAGTCAACATCATCTCCACTGGATTCATTGCCAGAATCGACATCGTCATATGTTTCTTCCTCGGAATCCATCACGAGTCCTCCGGTTTATTAATTGAAATACTAATATATCTGTTTACTCTATATACTTTGTACCTGCATAAGAAGAGAAATGCCATTTACATCGTATCTGGCACTTTAACCTTTAAACCAGATGTTGTCAATGTTCACTTGACTTATTCAATTAAACCATTGTTTTACTTGAAAATAAACGTAGATGTATACGTGCAAGCGAAAACAATGCACTGACACATTTTCATTTGAATTCGCGGCTTGAATCATAGACGGAAGAAATAGTACGAATGCGAGTGTATTTACCGGTTTGGTATTGTACTCGATGAATTTCTCAACACAACTTTCGTTCGATAAGGTATCACACCTGCACCCGCGGAATATTGTTGTAGCGGAACAAAGTGAAAACAGCTTATGTTGAACACATGACGTCATCGTTCTCTACTTCTCGAATAAAGCGAGAGACTTGCCCGCGTATTTCCCTCTACTTATTGTCTGCAATGTCTCGCGAGATCTACAATCACGGTACTAAACGACTCCCCCCGAAACGAACAGTGAACAGTGAGAACTTCAGAATGTTTTCGCCATCGACATAAGCAAGAATAAAATCAGCTGCCAAAACATCCGAGCTGAACTCCGGCAGCTGATGCACTGAACGCTAGTTTCACGGCGAACGGACCAACGAGCCACCGTGCTGTTAGCCAATCAGATCCGTTTCTATATACATGCCGCCCAATGGCGTACTGTGTTTATCGAACTGATATTTTAGAATTGTTCTTTACTTTCTGTTGATTCTCCGTTCTAAATGGGTTTTAATGCCCGTTTGTTTTATGCACAGTTCCGGTCGATTTACATAATTACGACTAATTGCACACCGATGAGAGTGAGAAATTGATTTAGAACGAAATATAATTCGTCGTACGAAACGTCGTACTATCAGAAATCGGGGGCAAAAAAACACGATGACATCTCGTGTTCGTGACTTAATTAAAACGAGTTTCTACTCCTGAAACATTTTGCCCATAACTGATTATTCCTATGTATAAGAAATGTATAAGACGAATAAACCCATTTTTGATAACTACGTATGAAAATCGAAAAAATTAATGAACTACATATACACGTATAATATATAGACACATATATCTATATATATTATGTGTACTTGACAAAAGTATATCACAATTTTTCACAAATATTAAAATGATACTGGAGGTTTATTTTGATATCATTGAACGTGTGAAGATTTTAATGAGACTCGAGGATTTTAATGACCACGAAACACCAAATACACTTTACGCCTAGATACGTATATCGATGCTAGTGTACGTTATCAAATATATTACCATGCACAATAATCTTTTCAGCCATTGCACTGGACAATTCACCGAAACAGCAGGTTAATCGTGTAAAACCATCAATTAATCTAGGATGCACCGCTTGCCATGAAAGAAGGGACGAGCTTATAGCTCGAACACTGCTGTCACGTCCATGGCAGTACACGCGCAACGATTTTTTCTCCTTTTTCTTCTATCGATATTAAACACACGATACTATTTGCCTCTTGCACTCCCTGTCAATCATAGGGTTAATCTCGATGGATGAAACTCAACATGAAATTTCACGTGATACTGTCCGGAGAATCGAGAATCTAAAGAGGGACGCGACGACGAAACGTCTCCTTGCCGAGTGCAGTTTTTACTAACTTCGGTCAACTGCCTGAAGTTAGCCTCTTATGCGACGCACAGCTGACACGCATGGGCGTCACTACGCGGAAAGCACAATTTTCAAATTTTCATTGCAACGTTGAATCTATCAATTTTATAATTAGATTTTATAATAACGATCGCAGGCGTGGAGTTGCAATTTTTATAACCTCTCGAAATAATTCCCTAGATAAATTTTACTAGTCGTAAATCAATTACGAACGTTTTGACTTTCAAATCGCGAATATTTCCTACAATACAAACACACTGATTTTATACAGGAACAGTAGCAAGTTCTTGAAGTAATAATTTCCAAATAAGTTACTGGTTTTGTGTAAGTTATAAATGTTGAAAATAAATTATATTTTGATACATATGTATGTAATACACTCTACACGCGGGATGTTGGAATTTAAGGAATCGTTCAAAATCTCGAGATATTACGCCAATGCACGCACAAACGATAAGTGAAAGAGCTCACGGCGTTCTGTCAAGCTAAGTTAACCTCGTGGTGCAGTAGTATTCAGGACAAATGTCCAACTGGATTAGTTACATCGGGTAAAATGAGTTTGCCCAGCGTAAGTGATTATTCTTTGTTAGAAAAAATTGGCTCAGGAAGTTACGCGACTGTCTACAAAGCTTTTAAAAAGGTACGTGTGATTTTGAGGTTTGGTGCGAATACACAAATCATATGACGACAGTGTCGTAACTAGGTTAACAGATGCCACACATGTAATACACCGTATATCTTTCTTTTTATTTTTCTTCATACGTATAATATTAAATGTTAATGTTATTTAGCAGTTAAATTTAAACCTAAGCGTATTTTAGCTATTCTGAGAAAAGTTATAATATTGTTTTATGTTAATAAATGATTGCTTCAAGGCAGACATCGCATGATGTATTTAATTATATTTCTAATGATTTTATTATATAACAATTAAATTTACTAGATTAACTTTACTCTCGTTTCTTTTTTTTTTTTTTTGGTTATGAGACGTATACATATACAGATCGTACGACCTCATCGCGGAATTTTAATATCAATGCAAATTAAACAACTTTTATGCTGATTACATCTAGTTAAGGACTTAATCCCTGATAGATTTGAATTAATTTGAATTCAATGAAAGATTAATGAATATTTCACGTGCGATTATTGTGAATTTTAAGCGCGCTGCGCACGATGCAATTAAAACCGCAATGGCGCAGGAAGGGACAAATGAGATAATTATGTATATATGTAGTTGTCGTAATTGATAAATGTTTTTTTCAATACATTTTATTTTTCCCAAGCGTGTTATTCATACGTCAATCAATAACTTGAATTAATTACACGATAAGAGATTTTCTTTTTGCAACGTGTAATATGTACAATTTTATAAACGCGAGTACGCGTTATCGATTTAATCTTAATCAATGAAACTGTCACGAGCCTGATAAATAAAATCTGGAGATAAGCCAGCAGAGCTTCCACAACCCACGTGAATTACTATATCGTAAACGTAAATTTATTCGCTCGAGTTTCGAAACGATTAATTGCCCCTGAGTATTAGTCACTACGTTTCATTGACAGTTGGCCTTTATATATAAAAGAGAGAGAAGGCACAATGCACAAGCATTTAACATAGCATGCCTGATTATCGGTATATTGCACGCCTGTGACAGTATTTTAAGATGCGTGATATAACGCACACAGTTACAATCACCGACACGTTTTTACTACATGTAAAAATAAAAAAAAAAAAAAAAAAAAAAAAAAAAAAAAGAAGAAAAGAACAGACACATCCGCAAAGGAAAAAACCAGAAGAAGAAAAGAAAAAAAAAGATTTCAAGCATATACTTGGTCCGTGCAGAGCGTATCACCCCTGCGATTGCCAGACACCCTCTATCCCTCGACTGGTTCACTCGATTCGAGCGGGCAAAGTCATAAGTCCGTGGTGCACACGGTGCACGATACGTGGTACGAGTACGGGTACAGTCGATCTCCAGGGATCGCGTTACTTTTGATTATCCCCGGCTGGAGAGAGAAAGGGAAATCGTGGACCTGAAAGGTTCAGAGAAAAAGAGAGAGAGGGAGAGAAAGGCGAGCACGGACCGGTGCACGCAAATGCGCGGGCGTATGTCGTTTAAGCCCATTTAACCGTACAAACCGTTTGAGAGATCTCGGCCGGTGCCGAGGAGACAATGAGAGGGAGCTGTCGTCGGGCTTTGTGAGCTGCTTTTCACAGCACAGGGGCAGAAGGCCGGGGGGGGGGGGGGGGGGATCGTGCTTGTGCACCGAGGATTGCACGGAGCCGAATTCAAAATGACGAGGTAGCTGGAGGGAGTTCGGTCGGCGAGCGGAGAGAGGTCGCTGCGAGCGACGAAAGAAGGGGTTCTGTCGGTGGTTACGATGCCACGACGGCAGGCACACCCACGCAGGCGCCCCTTTCACCAGACTACTCTCTCTCTTGGTCTCTCTTTTATATCTGTCTCTCTTTGTTTACCACACGAGACACACTACCGATAACTCCCTTGCTCCTCTCTTTCTTTCTGCGCTCGTGCTCTTCCAACCAGCTGACATCGCCTCCCCTACTCTTCCACTCCTGCGCCGGGTTTTTCCAGTCGCCTGCTCCACTACTCGTATTCGCGCTCTCCCGGTCTCAGTCCGATTTTTCCCGCTCTCCTCTCTTTCTATTTCTCTCTCTCTCTCTCTCTCTCTCTCTCTCTCTCTCTCTCTCTCTCTCTCTGTCGCGGCCGACGACGCTTCCGCACGTCCGTGACACAATGGCACATCTGGTGTTAACTTCTGCTTTTTGGTCGCGGCGCTTGTCGCGAGAAATCGCCTCGCTTGGCCTCGTCCCGCTCGGCCCCGGGATCGTCAAGCATCTCCGCCGATCCTACGCTTTTTTCTTTTTTCCCTTTTTTTTTTTTTCTTGTTTTCGTTTCGAAACGAAACTACCATTCTTCCTCCTCCTCCTCCTCCTCTGTCGTTCTTCGAATCGCGAGCAATCGTTTGTTCCGTTTGTTCTGCTCGCTGTAGCTGCGTGAATGCGACAGCCAGTTTTTGCGCCACACCGGCTGCGAAAACTGATCCATGGAAAAATAACGGCTTATTATTTCTTTCTTTTTTCTTTTTGGCGACTCGGTGCCGGTCGCAGCTACCAGTAGCGTGGCGCTACGTCGAAAACGGTTGAATTCCGAAATACAATCTGTCAGGTTTCATTTAGTTCGGTTTCCTTTCCGCCGGCGAGTTCGTTGAGACACTGCCTCTCAACAGGTTTTAGCCACTCGCAGAATACTCCGTTCTCTGCCTCGGTCTGTGGGAATTCGAGGACGCTTTTTTTCACCTACGCGCGTGAATCGGCGAATTGACGTTTTGACAGAAATTCGAAAAAAATTCGCACTCTGAAGTCGGAAAACATATCTCAGATTTTTCGTCATTTTCGACAAAAGGCGAGTGCTCGAATGTTTATGAACGAAGATAACAAACGTTAAACGCCCAATTGTTAGGTGCAAACTAATGAGTTTTCAAGCGTTTCCCCGGAAATTTCGGAAGTTAACGTAATTACGCTAACGTTTCTTATTATACGTATATTATATAACTTATAATTTATAATTTATACGTTAACCTGTAGCTTGTAACTTATAACTTATAACGTATAATTTATGCTTAACGTAATCATACATTACACGTAACCTAACCTAAAAAAAAAGAAACCAATTATATGTTAATGTATAACTTATAATTTATAACGTATAATTTATACGTTATATATAATCCAACCTAAAAGAAAAAAGAAGAAAACGCTTGTATGTTAACGTATAACTTATGATTCATAATGTATAATTTATATTATATTTACGTAATTATACATTGTTATTGTGAGTTATACAGTTAATGTATAAGTTGTCTTGTAATTTATACGTTAACATATAATTTTAGGTTATACATAATCTAACCTAAAGAAAAGAAAAAAACGCTTATATGTTAATGTACAACTCATAACTTATAATTCATAACGTACAATTTATACGTTAATATTATTATACATTATACGTAATCTAACCCAAAAAGACGTAGAACTTATAACTTATAATGTATGACTTATACGTTAACGTAATCTTTCCACGTTATATGTAACCTAACCTAAAAAAAAAAATAAAAAAAAGAGACGCTATAAAACTTATTCACACACACACACACACAATGATTTATTCGTTCATTCACGGACCCGTACATTTTAGGTTATACATAATCTAACTTGAAGAAAAGAAGAAAACGCTTATACGTTAATGTACAATTCATAATTTATAATTCATAACGTACAATTTATACGTTAATATAATTACACATTATACGTAATCTAACCTAAAGAAAAAAACGCTTATACGTTAACGTAGAACTTATAATATATGACTTATACGTCAACGTAATCTTTCACGTCATACCTAACCTAAAAAAATAAAAAAAGAGACGCTGTGAAACTTATTCGCACACAGTGATATTCATTCACTATTCACGGACCCGTACGTTTTAGGTTATACATAATCTAACCTAAAGAAAAGAAGAAAACGCTTATATATTAATGTACAACTCGTAACGTACAATTTATACGTTAATATAATTATACATTATACGTGATCTAACCTAAAGAAAAAAACGCTTATACGTTAGCGTAGAACTTATAACTTATAATGTATGACTTATACGTCAACATAATCTTGCACGTTATACCTAACCTAAAAAAAAAAAAAAAAAAATAGAGACGCTGTAAAACTTATTCGCACACACATATATGATATTCATTCGCTATTCACGGACCCGTCGTCCGTACGAAAAATTCGCCGGCCGGGAAACCATATGCGTAAATGGGGCAAGAGCGAGCCGATATAAATTCAAACGTATTTACGCGGCAAGGGGTGGCGCAATTTATTACCCGTCGATGTAATGGAAACGCCCAATGGTGAGGATATCTGCCCCGGTGCAAATTCGATTATATGCAGTTTGTATCTCGCCTTCCGATTCCTCCGGCCGCGCCGGGGAATACAGTTGAATTAAAAAACGCAGGAAACCGCGGGGAACCGGCATATTTCATCGGCGTCGTCTTTTTGCCGGGGGCTCATTCCCGCGCTGAATATCCCAGTTCACATTTCGGCTGCCGCCGAAGAAATATACGGCGCACGGTTAAACGTCATCGTTTCTTCGTGCCTCTTGCCACGGAACTGTAAATCTACGCGCGAATTTTCGTAGATCCACACCTGCTGGTAGACTAAGCGAGCGCGTCGAAAGTTCAAAAGTCGTCGGATTATGATACTTGGCCCGAAATTGCAATATTTCCTCAGGCAAAACAGACGATAAGTTTATTATATAATAATTAATAATAATTTCTATCCAATGATATACCGATATATATACGAGTTCGAGAGGAAGAGAAAGGCGACGAATATATTATCGTATACGGGGTTCGGTCGCTCGTTATGGTCCGCAATCAGTTGCCAGGTTGAATAAGCGAGGGCGAACAAACTTCTGTCGGGCTTCTTCGCGAAAACGGCAGGTTCTTTTCCGAAAATATTCTCCTGCAGCCTCACACGC